GGCCCGGGCCCCCAAGATTTCCAAATTTTTGAAATTTCTAACTTTTTTGAAATTTTTGAAATTTGTAAAATTTTGAAATTTTTGAATTTTAAAAATTTCAAAAATTTCGGCTATTTACGAAATTTTTAAACTTTTGAAATTTTAAAATTTCAAGGGCCCGGGCCCCCAAGATTTCCAAAATTTTTGAAATTTTTGAAATTTTTGAAATTTTTAAAATTTTGAAATTTTAGAATTTTCGAAATTTTAAAAATTTCGTAAATAGCCGAAATTTTTGAAAATTTTCTTTTTTTTGAAAAAGTCGTGGATCATCTGCTACCGCCAGAGCAAATCACATTATACAGAAAGGTTGCTCGTACATATATATATATACAGCTGCAAGCTGTTCTGGCTGCTCTGGCATATGTCCTGCATTCATTCCCCATGGTAGCTAATGAAGTCCACCCATCCAGATCATCCCCAACCCTTCATGGTCTGGCTGATTGTCTGTCTATTTAGCAACATGAAACTTCTCCGCATTGGAAAGGCAAATACCTCGATTTGAAGATCAGAAGTCCTGGTGTTTTGATTGTTTTGCTGTTCGTCTAGGCCACTGCGCGCCTGGGATACACTTGCCCTCGCCTCGGCAAAGCCAAACTCTTTCCCACCTGAAACTTGGTCATCGATGCAGTACTGTCGCAGCTGAGAGAGCTCCTTCCAGTCTCTTGAAGGTATCGTGCCACATCCCACTTTCAGACGCGTGCTAACTGGCCCTCGAAGGCACCGAGCGTCATATAATCTGGAGGCACTCAAACCCTAAACCCTAAACCCTAAACCCTCAGCCCTAAACCCTAAACCCTCAGCCCTAAACCCTAAACCCTAAGCCCTAAACCCTAAACCCTAAACCTTCAAAGCCCAAGCCCTGCCCAAAGTGGCTCAGCCATGGATCCATGGCCCAGCCAGAGCTGTCGGAGCCTCCGCCAGAGCCACCCTTGGAGCTGCTTGGAACTGTTTTTTTTGTGTTTGGGCGCTTTAAGGTTCATATGAGCCATAATCTAAACTCCTTAAAGGGGCCTATATAGGGGATAATATAGGGGACTACTACTTGGGTTCTTAAGAGTGACACTAGGAGTTTAGACTATAGCTCATATGTTCCTGTTAAGCTCCATTGAAGTCGCGTTGGCATTGCACATTCGGTTCAGCTCATGTGCAATTTGAAAGGCGGAGGCCCAAAAGCCTGGTAGGGGTTCACCTGCGAGGCCAGTGCGACGAGTTCGTGACATCAACGGTCACACGAACAACTCCAAGAAGAGAAGTCTCTTCTGCAGCCTGACCAGGGAAGTGCGGACTTGCTTTTGGTTGCACACTGCCAAAGCTAGATTCAGGCACCTACGGCAGCTATGCGAATTCCAGCGAGGCACCTTGATTTGCATCTCCTGAACTGCCCCACAAGTGGAGATGATCTGTGGGAGAGCCTTGAGCCTTCAGCAAAGGATTGGTCCAGAAAAAAGCGCTGCTATTTTTTCGACAGGTCTGGCCAAAGCTTTGGATTCCCATTTGGCAACCGCTTCAGTATATGGGGTAATATTAGGGCATTTTCGGGGCTACATGGGTATAGTGGAAAAGAACATGGAAACTATTATGATAATTTTCATGTTTTTTCAGCCTTGGTCAGGGGTTGCTGCGTTTACGGCGACTCGTGCACCTTTGAGCATTCCTCGTCGAAGGAAGGCTCTTCGAAGGAAGCCGACGCTGGGCAGAAACACAGCTTAACAAAACTCGCGCAGGCCGATCTGCATGCATGCGCACATGAAGGACTAAGCACTCAGGACTGCTGCGGCGACGCGGCCAAAGTGCTCGGCAAGCATTACAAGAAGAACCTGTGCTCACTGTTCATGCTGCCAGGTGCTTGTTCCAAGACTCATTGCTCTTGCCTTGAGTGGGTCCTGTTTGAACAGTTTTTACTGAAGATAGCAAAGATGTTTTTGGAAAGGCTTGGCGTGTCCCTTTACAAGCTCCTTCTGCTGGAATGTGCCTTTGCAGCGTGTAAACATGCTTGACCAGTTTTCTCCCCTGAAGAAGATGCGCTCAGGCGCACGGCGAGGGCGAGCTGCGCCGTAAGCCCTTATCTGTGCCGCCAATGGGCGGCATCCAACGAGGGACAGCGGGGCGAACCAACTGTGCTGAAGGGCTTTTGCTGGTTGGGCTTGACTGCAAATTGCAGGACATTGTTGCGCTGCATTGGCTATGGCCTGAGTGACGTGGACTCTGCCGAGGCCTTCAACACAACTTCAAGTGGCTGTGCTTTGCTTAGCCTTGTCTGCCAGAAATCAAATCTGCAGGTGTGGCAGTCACCTGCAAAGTGGCAGATCCTCAGCAAAGTCGGAAGTCTCAAAAAGGGCATATGGCAGCACTCACGAGCTTCTTGAAGCAAGCACCTTGTAGGTGAAGGTGGGTGATTCCGTGCTAGCAGACGGCATGCCCATCCTTTCGCATGGCTACATGATGGTGCCAATTCAGCCTGATGGAACACGCCTCAGAAGCTTTGCCTCACTTCGCTGACATTGTGTGACATGTTTCATCTGCTGTGAGCCAGGTGCTGTGGAACTTCGTTACTTCCGCGAAGCTGCAGATGAGAAGGCAAGCTTTAGATGTGATGCAATGCAAGTCTCGCAGGCTTTGGCAAAACTTTAGTGAAGTAAAGAATCCTTCTTGTTCACACGCGTGTTCCTTGACAGGGTTTCACACAAGATCTTCCGATCACCGACTCGCACATCCACTTGGAAGAGGTGCTGCGAACGAGGCAGTGTATTGCAACTGAACGGGTTGGAGCGTTGATTGCATGGTGCGCAGCTTTCTGCTGCCTAGGTGAAAGGGTAATTAGTAAGGGGAGCGTAACATCAGGCGGTTCGGCTTTGCCTGGTATGCAAAGACGCTGCGGTGTGGTTCCTCGGCCTCAGAATTGGTTGCCTCAAGGCCTTACGGTACCCGTCGGCGACTGAGGCTACCTCCCGGACTGCAGGATCCCACGCTGCCTTTATGCACACGAAAACGAGAAGCTCTTTCCAGTGCCTGCCCTGCGAAGTGGGGACCTCAAAGAGCTCATCGAGGACATCCAGCGCTTGCAAGGCCAGGAACCTTCGGATCTCGTTTCTGGATGCAGTGAAATTTGACATGCAGGTGCCAGAATCGTCGGCATTGTCCAGAGTTGCTGCGGAGTGGAAACCATTGAGGATGTGTCGATGCAAAGCATATATATATACATATATATATATATCCCCAATATATACCCTATAATCCCTATATCCCCAACATCTACTCTGCGAGCGGTGAATTTGACTGCAGCGCAAATCAGGACACACTGAAGCTGGTGCAGTGGGGCAAGGCGATGTGGGAGTGTGAATGCTGTATTATAATGGGGTTATATAGGAGATAATGGAAAAGAAAATAGAAACTACTGTATTATAATGGGGTTATATAAGTAGAATGGAAAAGAAAATGGAAACTACTATAGTATATTGCCATATCCTTGCTTGGACAGGCTGAGCAGCCAAGTGCGTCAACATGTCCCGTCATCGGGTTTGACGTCTGACAGGAGATGCTGGGGGGGCGAATATTTGCGACTTTCGGCATCCATCCAAATGACTTCGAGTCATTCTCCACGAAGGTGCTCACATGCGCATCCTCCTCGTAACTATTCTGTATATAAGCGTTACATTGGGATAATGGAAAGTAAAATGGAAACAATTATAATGGCATAGGGATTACAGGGTACGGGTATATATCGGGGATATAGGAATTATAGGGTATATGTTGGGGATATAGGGATTATGGGTATATATTGGGGATATAGGGATTATAGGGCATATATTTGGGATATATATGGATTATAGGGTACATATTGGGGATATATATGGGTGCTTTGTACGGCCGGGTGCTTTGGCCAAAAGAGTCCTTGTTGCTTGGAAAGGCAAGGTTAGCTGTTTGTAAAGTTTTTGGGGCATATTGACAGGGTAGTTTCCCAAAAAAGGGGGACAGGGTTTGGGGTTTAGGGTTTAGGGTCCCCCGAACACTATAACCTTTATACTGGGGACCCCCAAACCGGTACCCCTAATTTTGGGAAGCCCCTGCAACTGGCCAGCTTGCATCAGGGCAGTGTGCCACTAGCAAGCTCTGAAGCCAGGAGTGAGCAGTTGACAAGTTTCCATTTTTTTTCCATTTACCCCATAAACACCCCTATATATCCCTAACTTGAGGAAATCTAGGAAAGACCTGTTTTTTCTTATTAGGGGTACCATTTTAGGGGTCCCAATAAGAAGGAGTTCCGAACTTTAATTGCCCTGAACCCTAAGCCCTTAACCCCAAACCCCAAACCCTAAACCCTAAACCCTAAACCATGCCTAAACCCCAAATTCTAAACCCTCAACTAGTTGAACGCTCTGGCCAAGTACCCCATGCATCATGCAGGCTGAAAAGTCCATGGGGTTAAACAACAAAATTAATATCATGATTAATACTACTATTATTACAAATATTACTATGATTCCTACTATTAACAGTATTACAATCCCTAAACCCTAAACCCAATAATTACTCTAGTTATTACAATTCGCAAAGATCTCTGCAGGTGCAGGCCAAGCTCGAAGCTGCCCTGGACTCCTGCGGCGAGCAGGGAGTGGGCTGGGGCGAATGCGGTCTGGATTTCAACAAGAGGCCGGGGATGGCATTGGAGTCATAATGATATTAGTAGTGTAGTAATAGTAGTAATAGTAGTAATAACAGTAATAATAGTAATATTAGGAATAATAGTAGTAATAGTAGTATTCATAGTAGTCTATACAAGAATTCTTGGGGGTTAGTAGGGAATGTGGACATAGATTATACATAGACTATATTCCCTTATTCCCTACTAACCCCCAGGAAGTGTAGATTCTAAGTGTAGATGATGGGGCTGTAGGCAAGCCGAGCTTTCAAACCTTGATGGCCGGGGATGATGCTCAGCTTCAGGATAGGATAGGGGTACCGTTATATCTAGGGTATAATGGAACAGAAAACGGAAACTACTACTTAGGGTTTGGGGTTTCGGGTTCCCAAAATCAGGAGTATCAGTTTGGGGAGTCCCACTAATAAGGACCACTGTATTTTTGCGTCTTCTTAATTTTGGGAAACTACCAGGATTAGCTTTCAAATACTTTTGTCAGGGCTGAATAAGCCCTAAACCCTGAGTCGGAAAAAGGTCTGAGAAACAAAAACAACCTAAACCCTAAACCGTGGCACTGAGAGGATATCATCTTCATTCTCGTTTTTTGATTACCCGGATGCAGTGAAGGCATAATAGTAATATTGGAAAATAATAGTGATAAATAGTGGTAGTAACATTTTCATTTTTTAATGCAAGCGCAATGTAACAGCGCGATTAATGTGATGTCACGTAATACATCTATATGTATAGATGTGTATAATTGCAACTTTTCTTTTCAGGCACAGGGGATTTTCTGAAAATTGTGCATGTCAGCAGGTCTGGCTGCCCTATTGTAGAAGCTGAGTCATAGATAAAGAACAGAGTGAAGATGGTCATGTGTTTGAAAGAACAGAGACTTTCAGGAAACAGTTGTCCCAAATCATTCCCATCATCTGAACTCTGTCAGCAAAGTCTGCCAGGGCCGATGAGTTTAAAGCTGCGCCGCAGATGCAAGAGCAAATGCAACAGGTAGCTGGGCAGCAAGCCATGCACAGCATCTTTGGAGCCCAGGAAGGGGTAATCTTGGGATAATGGAAATATACTGTAATGGGTTATATATTAGGGTTGTATATAGGTTGCATCTGGACTTGTGACCAATCCTTTACGGACTTTGCATCCGGAATTAGAAAGGTTTTCATCCATCAGATCAAAGTCGCTGTGAAGAGGGGGATTCCGCTGGTGCTGCGCTTACATGAGCTATAGTTTAAACCCCTTGAGGCGGGTCTTACAAGGGATTATATAGGGGACTACTATAGGGTTTTTAAGGGGGATACTAGGAGTTTAGACTATGGCTCACATTGACATGAAAGCACTTAGCTTCAGCAAATTTCAGCGAAAGCACATTTCATGAGCTGTGCTTCAGGTGGTTCATTCCAGAGATGCAGAGGAGGAAGTTTTTCACATCCTGGATGCACACGTGAGCCGTCCAGTCATTCTACTTACAGAGCTTGGCAACTGCGGTTGGAATCATTCTTTTCGAGACGAGCAGGTTCCTCCTGATCATTTCGTGCAGCTCCACTCCTTCATGGGCCCACCGTCCATGCTCTTACCCTTCTTATCCAAGCCCCTCGGCAGCGGTGACGGTATTCCGTTGGCCTGCTTTTTCCAAATGTCGCACACGATTCACGTCAGTAGTTGCTAGCGCTTTTGTCGTGGATCACCGTTTTTCATTATTCAACATGTGAAGCAAGCATATCAGGCTTGTCTCAGGTTGGGCGGCCATTCCGCAAAGCAGGCTTGTAACAGAGTTGAGCTTGCGACACAGCCTTTCGCCACAAAGTTCTTTTATCGGGCATAGCTGTATGAAGCACTCGGAACAAGGGTTTGTACTCAGAACAACAAGCACTGCAACAAAACGGGTTTCAATCCACGGCTGTATATGTATGCTTGCCAAGACTCCCCAGGCGACCCAACACATTCGTGAGCGTGCCTGGGGCGATAAGCTGGGGAATGCAAGGGCAGCAGCCCGGAGGCGCGTGGGAGAGTCTAGACCACCCAGTACTAGATTTACTAGTGATACTGATGTTTGATGCAATGTTATCTTGGTTTCAGATGCGCTTTGCAGTGATTCTCTGTGGAGTTGCAACAGCTTTGCACCGGCACTGCACCCATGAAAAGCTTTTCTGTGAAATCCAGGTCTTAGCCCAACTGATCCAATGATTGGAGGAGTGTGTTTTCTCATTCAGGCTCGCCCCATCGGCTGAACACCTGCCCACCTTATCGATTCAAAATGCAGGTTGCAAAGATGTCTTGCAACTGTCAACGGTTTCAAGAGAAAGCACCGCTCTTCCCTACACCAAAAGGCAAGCTCTGAATCTTTAAATTAAAAGGCATTAAACCTTCGAATCCCAGCTCAGGATATCTCAGGATGATTTATGATCGAATTCCCGGTCTAGGATAGGTGTGAGAAGTGCCAACTACCAATTGAATTTTGACCTAAATCCACGGGTTAGGGGGTGCTTGTCTTTGGCGTCAGGCTCGTCTAATTCGTCCATGGTTGCTATCTTCTGCTCGTTTACATTCGCAAATTCGTTAGGCTTGATGATCATGCAGGCATCGGTTCTTGCCTGGCATCATGCAACACCTAACCTAGCGAAGACAAGATGCGACTGGTTGCTTACAAGACGCAGAAAATGCCTCTGCAGACAGCTATGATTGAGATGAAATCTATTGGCAGCCTCAGGGTAGTTGTTTCTTCTGTCAGCATTTTCTATCCATTGGCTTGCTGTAATCCTTGCTGCGATCGTGCCTCAGTAGTAGCAAGTAGTGCCGCTAGTAAACGTGTTGCTGTTGATTATTTTGAATCTTTTGCTACTGCTGAAACTCGCTTGAATTCTGCTGCAAAAGGGGAAGCCCTCCACGAGCTGGCCAAAGCACTGCCGATGGAGCGCCTTCTGTTGGAGACAGACGGGCCCTACATGGCACCGGCTCCCTACCGCGGCCAGGAGCGGATGGGGATAGCACGTGGCCCTCCGGCTCTACCATGACGTTAGGTGTTGGCATGGGAACTTCGGATAACTCCAGGAAAGATGAAGGAAGAGAGAAGGCATAGAAGGGACTATACAGGGGTTGTATTCACGTCGGGCGTGTGTAACTTCCCTTCCTGTCCATCCTACACACATCTTGTGGCATCATAAACCTCACTCGCGGTCAGGAGTCCCACCCGGGCCACGTCCCGTGGGTCCACGACTGAGACTTAAGGATTTTGCGCCCAGAGCCTGCTTCTGCTTCACAGCAAATGCCACTCTTAGAGCTCTTTGCTATCGCCTTCCGACATTCGCTATCAAGATTTTGTTGTGCGTAATGCGCGCTCAGGTCGCCTATGCATTGGCTATGGTCAAAGGCGTTAAAACCAAAGAGGTGCTGGAGGCGGCCAGCAGAAACTTCTGTCGCTTCTTCGGGCTGCAATGGGCTGGAGAAAAGGTGCGAGCAGACACAGGCAAACTGCACGTGGGACAACCTTGGTTTGACACGAGGCCATAGGGTTGGTCGTGTATAAAAGCTAGGCATGGTTGCAAAGGAGGAGCTCATTCTGGATGTATAGCCATTCAGGAGATAAAGGCTTATGGCATACGGGTGAAATTTGCTAAGAGAGTAAGTCCACGGCCTGGAGTTTTTGGGAGCTTAGGGTGAAGCCATTGCACAGCTGTGTGCGGTGAACTGAATGGCAGGAAAAAACTTGGGCTTAACAGATCTTCCCAACATGGGTTTAGGGTTTAGGTCAATTCCATGGAGATCTGGTGTAGAGTTTGTGTGCTTTGCGCCTTTTACTCAGGCCGAAAAGGCCTCAAGCCGGAGAGCCCGAATCAGGACCCTGATGTCATGAAGTAGTTCTTTGGTTAGCTGGGAACGAAGGAATGGAAAAGGAATTGGAAAGAAGCTATTGTAATGAGTTATAGAGGGACTTCCTTGAAGGATCTGTTCGTTCATTCCTAGCTAGCCAAAGGCCTTTATAGTTCTTGTGTATCGCCGGAAGGACTACGAGGGGTCCCCATTAGGGTTCCCTTTCAGACAAGCCCCTGAAAGCGAGCAGCCCATAGGATCGCTGCGCAGAACATGTTGTGCATCCTGAACCCCAATATAACCCCTTATTTGAGTAGTTTCCATTTTTTCCATTACCCCCCGCACAACCCCTCATTCTTTTGCCTTTTGGCCGATTCAACGAAAAGCTGTATGAACATTAGGAAAGGTGCAAATCTACCACGGAACGCACTTTTCCGGACTCTACGCAAGGACTCCTGGTTCTGCCTGAAGGTCGAGCAGTACTTCTCGCTTTATGCTGTCTTTGATGGCCATGGCTCCAAAGGCTTGGGCAGAGAAGCTGCTGCAGGGCTGCCTTGTCCTGAAAGCATTGTTAGGTATTGCGACACGCTGCTCGCTGTGACAGGTCATAAGGTTTCGCAGTTTGTCAAAGACAACCTGCCAAAGCTGATCCTCATGGTGTCTCAGCTGCATCCAGCTGCAGAGTCCAGTTCTGCTCCGTGATGCTCCGCGGTATTCTGCTGCAGGACGAGCGCTTCGGAAAGGGGTCAGCTGAACTGCCGGAGATGCTGAAGGCGACTTCGGGGGCGGCTAAGTTGCTAAGCTCTGCCCACTCTTTAACTTTGCGACTCATTGTGTGACTCGAAGGAGAACTTCCAGCGGACACAAGATCTGATTGTTGCCTCCGACAAGCTCGGCAAATTATCTGCCTCATTGCGAGGGGCTCTGTGCAGACGCGGAATCTGTTGAAATTTCTGGAATGTAGAATCGCTTGCAGGTCGGGTACGACAGCAACCTTGGTGGTACACAACCACGAGAGCAAAGAGATTACTGTGCCTCGGCAGATCTGCCAGCTTTCACCTTCTGTGTCAACGGAACACCAGAAGTTTTCCTACATAACCCCAACATACTATGGTAGTTTCTACGGAATATGTAACCCCCAAATACTTTAGTAGTTTCCATTTTGAAGGTTGCCCATGTGGCTGACAGCTCCTCCGTGCTGGGCCGGAGAAAGGCCTCAAGGGTACGAGCTCCAAGCAGACCGTGCCCTTCATCCCACACCAGGGAACGGAGGACTTTGAGGCTGTGCAGCTCACCCGAGACCACAAACCCAACCTCAAGGCAGGTCGCACGTCAGAGCCCTATCGTTCTTTCAGATCGCGTTGGACGTGTGATGCATCAGGACGAGAAGGCTCGCATTGAGAAGGCTCCTTGCATATCTAAGATGTTTCCAAGCTGCCTGCTGTTTGATCCCGCTCCGCCGTCAAAGTTCTTGTTGGACATTCACAATTTTGGACCGCCCTATCTGTGACTGGGGATGTTGCCGTTGTCTGACAAGGCAGGTGGCACTGTTGTCTTTGACGGCTATGCCAACCACAGGATCTATGCGAGGACTTCTGAAAGCTCACTGAAAAGGCGCTTTTCCAGGTTTGTGCGTTGTGGCAGGAATGCCCGCCACCCAGGGTGCCTGCCTGAGCAATCAAGGAGGGCGGACGTTCAATAAAAGTTTCAACCGATCCCCTGCAAGGCTAAACATGTCGCGTTGCCTGGGCGACCTCTTGGGCCACCAGGTCGCGGCAAATTGCTGAAGGGTTGGCTTGAGGGTCAAGGAGCGTCGCTGTCGACTCGTTTGTTGGGAGCTTGCATGTTGCTGAGCCACCCTGTTTGTGCCAGACGTGCGGCATCTCCGCTGTTCCTGAGGCCAAGCTGGAGCTGGAAGCATTTGAACGCTGCACGACTTGTACTTTCCTCCCGTCCCACAGGTCACGCAGCGAACGCTGGATCCCGAAGACGAGGCGCCAGGGTGCAATGTCCAATTACTACGTGTTTGGGTTTCTGTGTGTGGCTGCAGATTCTGCTGCTGTGCAGCGATGGTGTTTGGGAGTTCATGGCTCCCCTCGAGGCAGGTTCCAGACAGCTTGGCAATCTGCTTTCACTTCATGCAGTGAGTCTGGCTGGTTGCTGATCAGGCTGTGAAGCTTTGCGGCGCCTATGCTCCAGAACAAGCTGCAGACCCGGATGTAGCTGCAGATGCAGCCAAATTTAATGCGCTCATGGTCCATGCCTGGTATTGGAACGAGTTTTTCTGCAGCCCCTGCTCCAAGATTCTGGCAGCCTCTTGCTGCCGAGCAGCTTCTCATAGCTAAGGCCATGCAGGCTGCAGATGCCCTGGCAAAGGAGGCGTGGCCTCAGAGGGGTGCAGATACATTCACCTTTTTTGATGTTCCCATCTTTCTGGAAGGAATTGAAGAGCTGCACAGCTTTACCCTTGGGCCTGAGTCTTTTGCTTCACTGAGTCCTGGGATCGATGGATCGAGGAAGAGGGGGGTACGGTGGTGGATGACATTACTGTCGTGCATTGCTCAGAGCAAACCTGCGCTGCATCCCTCAAGTCTTTGTCTCATCGACTGTGATCTTGCATGTGGAAGGTACTTGTCTACCTAAAGTAGCAGACTGCGCCTGGGACCAAGATGCCCGCATGTTGAGACTTGTCGTTGAATTTACGAAGTCGCTGGAGGATGGCTTCCCCATTACCATGCATGCTGACAGCCCTGCAGACTACAGCTGATGGACACAGCATGAATCACATGACTATCGGGAACCCTACTTTTTACTACTGCCTTAAGCCAACCAGTGCTGTGTGCTGCTTCGAAGTATTGGTCCGTCAGACGCCGGATAGCTGCCAAAAGGCACGCCAGTTTAATGTTCGTTGCACTCTGGCGCTGCATGATTGTGTTCATGCATATGCCACAGGGAATTTGCCCAAGCCAGTGCAGCGCTTGGTGTCCCACTCGTGAGAAATACACCTGCGCGTTTTCCGGGCACGATGCGGTCCGAAGTGCCCATCTGCACGGAGCTGAACAGCGGTCAGGAAACTGACATGCTAGCTGTTCTTCGGCAGCGACTCGCGAAGGCGAGGCGCCGCTTGTGTCGCAGTTCTTCCAAGCCTATGGAGTTCGGGTGCGAGTGGCTATCAGGCGCTTCGGCATATGTCTACTCATACGCAACCCCAAAATAGGATCTACCAAATCCTATGTTGAAGGCGAAGGTTTATTATGCTTCCAATCATGTTGCTTTCCGATTTGCATGATCATGGTGATGACATTCATCAAAGGAATTTTGGATGTTGCGAAAGAAATATTATTAGCTATAATTCTTTTTAAGCGTTCAAATCTATTACCCTTCTTGTAATCCGAGCGCAGGGAGGTTCTGTATCCAGCTGATTTGGGTGGATTTTTTAAAAGATATCCGCTTAATATTGTAGGTAGGTAGTCGTCGGCCCTTAGACAATGTGTATTTGTGCCGTTCTGGGCTAACCTCAACGAATAGGCGTATTCAAAGGTAAAATTTGCAAGCCTTTCTAAACACACGTCTAGTACCCGAATTTATATCGGAAGATCCGCGAAATATCTAGGAAATATCCGCGAAAGATATGATATTGACGCTTCCGTGTGTGTGTGTGTGTTTTTTTTNNTTTTTTTTTTTTTTTTTTAAATTGCTAAATTGATTTTCTTATACTTATATAATTTTTGATCTTGCGAGGTCAGAACTATCATGAATTGAGCTTTAATATTCAAATACGTTTTTGAGAATTTCTTAAAATGCGTGTGATTAAAATCTTAAAAATTTGCGACGTTTTCTTCATCTTATTTCTACGATTATATAGGGTAAAACATTCGCATTTTGATACGAAAAACTTCATAATATTTTATAATATATTTTGCAAGCGCACAAAACTAAATTCAAATCTTTATATTTTGGCCTCGTATGATTTAATTGAATTTGAGGATTTAGTTGAGTTTGGAGGTTTCAAAAACTTTAAAATGGTTTTAGCGAGCGAGGCTTGGGGGCGGGGGGGGGACGGGGAGAATAATAGTAGAATGACATCTTGAAATCCGCAAACCGGCTT